CTCGGCCCCCCATCTCCCAGCACAGCCATTGCGCCCAGCAAGCAGAAAAAAGTTTGGGGACCGCTGGTGTGGCACCTCAGCATATGAGAGATGACCCATGGCGGCCCTTCAGAAGGGAGCGACTCAGAAGGCTGGGGCTGACATATGTTACTCAGCGTGACGAGCCGAGTCCGTAGACACCAAATTTGTGGACTTTCGAGAAAATTTTTTGGAAATTATTAAAACACAGAATTTAACCGTGACCCCCGGCAGCATATGAGAGACCGCCCATGGCGGCCCTTCGGAAGGGAGCGACTCAGAAGGCTGGGGCTGACATATGTTACTCAGCGTGACGAGCCGAGTCCGTAGACACCAAACTTGTGGACTTTGGACAAACTTTTCCGTTGTGACATTCACACTAGTCTTAATGGTGTGGCACCTCAGCATATGAAAGATGGCGCCCCCCCCCGGCACAGCCATTGCGCCCAGCAAGCAGAGCTAGCCGCCCGGCGGCCCGCCGGCTCCCCCCCCCCGGCACAGGCATTGCGCCCAGCAAACAGAGCTCCGGCGGGCGGCTATATTTTCTCTCATTCTTGTGACTGAGCTAAACAATGTTGTAATTATTTCTTTTAAAACACCTATACAAGGTCTTACAATGGGGTAAATATAGGATAATGTGTCTGACAAATCTGGATTAAAACTAATGTCACTTAATTTGTAATGTAATATTTGTGTCATTTTGAACGTTAGAATCAACAGAAAACTTATCTAATGAAAAAATGCAAAGTATACCAGTTAAGATTGAAAGCCTCTCCCTGTAAATATCCATCTTGATGTAGTGAACCTTTTTTAGTAAAATTTTTTCCCTCTTTATGTATAATCTGGTCATTTCAGATGTAACAATAAAACCACACCCCTATGACCTGCCCAGAGTAAACAAATATTATGCAGCAGCTGGGCACATCCAGAATAATAAAGGATAAACCACATGCAGTGAAAGAGCAGTGGAATGTAAAGCAGAAAACGGCAGTGGCATAGACAGGGAGTGAACCGGGGCTGTGCTCTTTGGTCTAATTATAACCCAGAAGAGAAGACTGCTCACACAGTGGCCTCGCTCTGTCCACTGCAGTCATCGAGCTGAATTTAAGTACTGGGTGGCACCTCTCTGTGGTCCATAGTTACGAGTGCAGAGACTCCAGATTGGTTACTCACCATCAACAAACAAACTACAATGAACAGATATAAATATATCAAGTCATTAAAGTGTTTCATCCAGAAAGGTGAACTGTGAATGTTTAAACTATGAAAGGGATCAGATCACTGATTAAGGATGATCGGCATAAATCTTACATATTTGTTCAGACTGTATCAATAAAGTGTTCAACTCAGACACACTTCAGGGTGTAGGCTGTGGCTTTGTTGTATTGGACTGCACTACATTATGAAAGGTGAAAAAAACAACAACAACAATCCACCAAAATATAGCCCCAAAAATTATGAAATTTTGACACAGTCTGTGACACAGTGAGAACTAAATATGAACATTCAATGTTAGACAGGATTCTGCCTGTGTTGAGATGCTCCTCTATTGGATGACATTTGATTGTAAAGATGGTCATGATCATGTGCACACCCTCTTAGATTATGCACAGACATGCTGAAACAGCAAATCATGTGTAGGCACAACACTTGATTACCACCATCAGTGTGCTTGCAGCCTTTTTAAACTGCACATTTTTTCTCCTAATGCTCCTTGATATTTAAGTATACAATCTCATACAATATTAATTTAAGATTTCTGTTGTTACATAAAAGGATAGCTAAAACAAACAAGCAGAGAAATAAACTCACCAAGTTCCCCGGCAGCATTCCTTCCACCAACAGCATAGAGGTGTCCCTTGAGTGCACTGAGGTGGAAGAAGGTACGTTTCTCATTAAGGCACGCCACCTGGATCCACTTGTTGTAGCGAGGGTCGTACCGGAACACGGTGTCCACTGCCGTCTTGCCTTTGGTGTCATAGTTGCTTTGGCCACCCACTACATAGAGAAAGTTGCCAATGACTGCGATGCCATGCTGGTAGCGTGGTGCGTCCATGGGAGCCAACGCCTTCCACTCATGAGCCTTCTCATCAAACAGACGCAGCTCCTTACTCACAACTAGCTGCTGGCGCAGAACACCACCCAGGGTGACCAGGTGGGCACTGTCCGAGCGGATGGCTGTCCGTTCTGACTGCATAACTGGCTGCATGTAGGGCATCATTTGGTAGTTGCTAGCTTCCAGGAGAAGGTTGACACAGGTGTTGTCCGTGCGCATAAAGTCCACTGTCTGCACGTGATTGATGAGCTCCTGTGGGTTCATGAGGGGAAAGCGGATGTTCTTCATGAGCTTTGGGGCATAGTCCATACGACCGTCTTCGTAGCGTAGCCAGCGGCACGCAGCCTTGAACAGGTCCAATTCAGTGCAGTGTTTCAAGCTGTTACTGGACAGTACAAAAGCCAGTCGTTCAAATGGTAGCTTGACAAACTCTCCTGTGCCCAGCAGTGACGGGAAGTTTTTCAGGATGAAGTTGTTGACATATTTGTCCACCTCTGTGAGGTTATATGTGTTGGCAATGCGGCCCACCTCTACACAGTTGTCGAGAGAAACCTGCAAGGAAGAAGAAATCAAAATCTTGGAAAGCTGCAACTAACATTGAGCACTCATCTATAGAAATAAGTAATTGGATCTTCTCAGCTTGTAACCAGAAACTCATCATTAGACAGAATGATTTGATACACAACATCAGTGATTTAGTTTTGACGGATGCTGCAATCAGACAAATTAACATAGTCTCCCCCTGTAAGACAGAGTACACAGCTAAGTAGTGCACATGAGGATTTACTGCCTCTGTTTTATATCATAGTAAATGTAATACCTTTAAATGTAATACCTTTTAAGTGTTTAGACATTTGGCAAGAGTAGTGGCATAAACCATTTTAACATGTCACTATGGCTCTAGGAATTATAAAAAAAAAAAAAAAAAAAAAAAAAAAAAAAAAAAATCAACAATGAAAGTCATCATTCGTTGCTGCTCTAATTTGCATCCACACTAATTAGTTTTACTTACATTTTAGCAGTGTATTCAAAAGTAAAAACAACTACATACCTTTTGAACATGCCAAAGTCGACATACATGATTTGAATTTCATCATATCCTTTTTATTATAAAAATGACATTTATACACATAGCAATATTTCACGACTTACCTGGAAGCACATATTTATCAAGTTAGCTGAGTAAGTGCACTAAAAACATGAAACAACTCTTTTTACTTCAGTTCATGTTCCAAATTTTAGGTTGTTCTCTACATTTTACATAGAAGGAGTAGTAATCTGCCTTGTGAAACAACCCTGAACCAGAGGCTACTTGTCACTTGTCTTCAGCAGGTTGATCTAACATACATGTTGCCTAGCAGAATCTGTCCACCTTAGCTTTTGACTTTAAGACAGCAAGCAAAACCAAATCAAGTCTTAGTGAGAGCAGAAATGATTATGACTGGAAATTTCTAGATAATGATGACAAGAGAAAACAGACCCTTATTGATGTGCTTTTATGCATGTGCTCGCTGGGTCTGACTCAAAGACACTCTCACAGGATTTCTAGAGTGTCAAACTTAAATTGAAAATAGTTTGGCAAGATTTAATGAGATTAAACCACTGAATTTATTTAAAATTTGGTTTGAAATCCTAAAATCCATTATTTTAGCCAATGCTCTTAAACATTTAAACACACAACAGCATTTCTGTTATGAGATACAAATGAAAACAACTGCTATTTTACAACTGGTGAAGATTATAGGAAAGCTGTGCCCTGTACAGCTGATCCTTGTGTGTCTGCTTCCTTACCCCAGATATAAGAAAGACCTTGCAGAAGTCCAGCACAGGAAGGATTTGTAAGAAGCTGGCTGCCTCAAGTGTGTCTTGCAGGTTCTCCATGTTGAGTGACAACTTGGCTGTGTAGATAAAGTCAATGATCTTCTTCAGGCCTATTCGGTTAACTCCGTGAAGCTTGATGCACATTAAATCCTGTTCTTTCATTCCACCTGCATCAGGACAGAGGAGGGGATAAATAAAAGTAGATGCTTACATGTGGCACAAACATACATAATCTTATTTGACTGACAGACCTGCTAGCAGCCTATTTGTTTTTTTTTGTTTTTTTAAGAACTTGAAGAATAAAGTTTACACGTCTGAACAAATTCAATTAAGCTGAAAATTTGAAAACATTTCATATGCATCTAGATGAAGTCATGTATTTTTTTTTTATGTCAAAAGGACTTACGTTCAGAAAGGATTGAAGGTCTTAGGGAGAAACCTTTGCTCAGCGTCTATGCTCACACAGCTTCCTTATCACTAATAAGAAATCCCTCACTCTAAGTAGAGTTTCCCCTTACTCCTACTTTAATAAGCTCTTCCTCTGTTCTCATTGCAGAGCCTTCTTCATCTTCATCATATACTTTAAATGCCAAACGTCCAAACTTACTTCCAATACTGCCACGAAAGGAGATCAAAAGTAATCCCATCAACTGTTCCAAAATTAAAATTTACTTTCATTGCTCATTACTGTAACTTTGTAATGTAAATGACTACAGTGCTGTATTCAAAGCTCTAGTCATGAAAAAAAAAAAAAAAAAAAAAAACACCATGATATGAAAAGGCTACAGGTCAGTTCCAATCATGTCAGTGAAGCCACTTTTATTAGCAACCACTTTGTTGCCTGTTTTCTTTGGGTTTAACTGAAAAAAGCCAAATAAAACCCAGTACAGTACATAAGAACTGTCTTTCTAGTTTTACTACCTTTTTTGTTGTGAAATGTTTGCCGCTTCTAAAAATAAGCTATCTTTTTACAGTTTTTCAGTTATTGCTGAAAACACCCTTCACACCACTGTATGCGATTCAAAAAGGTATTCAAGGTTCTACTACCTCTGCATACAAAGCGCAGATTACTTACATTCATTACAAATATGAACGACCATGAATGCATGGCAATGACTTCACCTGGTTGGTTTTATAACATGGAAATCTTTATGAATTATGCATGCACACACACACACAAACACACACACACACACACACACACACACACACACACTGGAGGGACGTGGGAACCAAGGCAAAATCACAGTGACGTCATTACTGAGGTGAAGCATGGAGATGGTCATGATCGATCATGCTTTACTAAAGAAAAAACAGTGCAGGCAGAGAAGAAGAAGATATAAAGCAATCAAATGCATGCGACAAAGCAACAAGAAACACATTCCATATGAAAAAGTACATCAGCGTTAAGTGGTACCAATAAAATACTCATTGTTGGGCAGATTGCTCTGGTCAGTGTGAGGCTGTGCAGACCCACCTGTGAACATGGCTTTGAAATAGTCTGAGGAGGCGGCCATCATGGCACGGTGTACAGGGAAAGCTTCATCGCCGTCCCCGGCCACCAGCGTGACATCACATAGCAAACCCTCTATCCTCAGCTGATCAAATCCCTAAGAGAAGAAGAGGAAAGAGAGAGATGAGTGTCACTGAGCTATGCATAGAGGACCTGAAATATGCAGTGTTTTTATTCCAGAAAAGTAGACCGTCTCTGTCTGAGCTACCAAAGGTGAGTTTGGTACAAAACGGTATTTCCCACCAAAACACATCTTGCCCATGCCCAGTGTGATGTGAGCTCACAGTATGTGATGGCCCTCTAGTCTACTTGAGCTGTCTGACTGCAGCCTGCTCATTTTCTTGACTGTCTTACACATAAACTGGTTCAGAGTTGTACGTTTAGAGCTACAGCTTTACCGTACCATTGCAGGGATGGGAACCGAGAACCGGTTCTAGTTGAGAGTCGGTTCCAAATTGTGTGAACAATCGAAATCGTATGATTACAAGCTTATCAATTCCCTTTATGAAGCCGGCATGTTTTTCCATACAGTTGCACATTGCAAGCATTGCATCGACACTGTTGGAAACTTGCAACAAGGAGGACTCATGGCGGAGAGGAAGAAACTGTCCCAAGCGTGGCTTCATTTCATAAAGATGATGACAGTGCTAGCTGTAATCTCTGTAAAATGGTAATTTCACATATGTTCCTGTTCACCATGGTCTTAAATTCAGCATGTCTGTTACTGAGGGTAAATATCCAATGTTATAATAACATTAGTGCCTTGCAAGCAGGCCTAGCAGATTTTTTTCTTTGACTAAGAGAACCTAAATTAAAACAACAGTTAAACAGTGGAGCTTTTGCACACTCAAGTCACCCACATGTCCTTTTCCTGTTCAGACTCAGAAAAATGTTGGGTTGATACTGTGTAGGCCTACTATTTTTGCCACAAGAAAATTGATCAATAAGGAATCGAACCGATAAGCAAAATAGATAATGGCATTGGTATCCATAAAATATTATCAATTCCCATTCCCATAACCTTGTAGGTAGAGTTGTACTTCATGGAGGTATTAGCTACAGTACATCAGACTTTGGCTTCACCCAGTTGTTGATATTTAAAACAAATAATCCCAAGTTGGCTGTACTGTTCATTTACATGATGAAGTCAACTGCAGTGACTCTTTGGAGAGTCAGACTTTGCACATTTTGTCATTGTTTAATCACTTGGCTGCTGCGTGCTTCAGGCTACACATTTACAGTCTGAGCTTTTTTGTCACCCTCACACCACATTCTTCACACATCCACTCACTTATTCACACACTGGATTTCACTGACAACCACATCTAATAAAAATAAAAAAATGGTGATGGCAGGTAGTCTAATGTTGAGCCAGCCAGAAAATAGACGGCACACGTCGATCCTGTAACACACTACACCAACTGAATGCAATAATCAATGGTGAGTTGTTTTTAGGTGGGTTTCTTCCAAATGCACCAGCTAACTGAGACTAACTGATTGCACTATCAGGTTGTAAGATCAGATAGCCGACAAAAATCATTATCATTCCATTACTGTGCTCTGACACCAAACGATTAATTAGCAGCAAAAGCAGCCAACAGCCAGTCATTTTCAATGAAAGCTGGGGATGAAGGGCAGACACTGCTGTGGCCTCAGCAAAAACAGCACCCACTACAACTTTAGGGTGATTGTAACTATATGCAAAGTGGTGACATTCTGAAGCAGCCTGCTTCTCGTAATGGCGTAACTTGTTAGATTATTCAGTGCTCTGCTGTATGCGAGTTGTTTACTTTTTCTTTTTGTGAGCATAGATAGCATTAGCAAGCTGAGATAAACTGTGACTGCACCTAAGTGACAGGGTAGCTTATGTTCTTTTTCAACATGGTGTTATGTACTTCAACTGTTAATGACTTCAAATACATACAACAAAATGTCACTTCAAAAACTTGCTACATTCTATTAAAGCTTTTCTGTTCCATTCTTGATAAGCAATATAATCAAAAATATTCATGTTGTGCTCACTCAATCAAATTAGACAGAAACCAAGTCCCAAATGCTTTTGGTTAATTACTGCAACATTATCTAAGCTATTTAATTGTTTCCAGTAATTCTTGCCGTGGGCTCTTTGAGGTAGTTTTGATTTTGTACTGTGCAAAGAAATTAAATTAAGACATTTGCTGCATTTGTAGTCTTGTAGTAGGAATAGATTAACTTGGATAACTTATCTCATTCTAGAAATAATGCTAAGAAATGTGAATTACTATATAGCCCACATTACTTCCATGAACTCTAAACGAACACAAAAAAAAAACATCATCATCATAACATTATGACAATATTTGACTTAACATTCACTTTTTCATAAGTAATTGTCACTAGATGTCGGAACTCTCACCTGAAGAACAACTGAGCTGTGTGTGTTGCTTGTGAAAAATCGAGTGTTTCCAGTCTTTGATGCCTGAAGGTGAGCAGAGATGCCCATATCACCATAGCCCAGAGCAACTTTCATGTGAGCGTCGTCGTCCTCCACGAGGGATCTATTAGGAAAAAAGAAAGAAGTTTTTACTTCAAAAGGGTAGCAAAAACACGTGTTTCCATCTAATTTTAGCTTATAGAAAGTAGGACAGAGAAGTTTTCAAAGTGACACTACTTAAAAAGGACATATTGGGTGATGGTAGCCTAATTGTTAGACAAATCGTCACCTAAAAGTTGCAGGTCTGCAAGCCTGGGCCGGTTGGGAAAATAATGGAGGGGAAGTGAACCATGCATGCTCTAACCTTCCCAAAGTGCCCTTGGGGGGGGGGGCTCAACTTCTCAGTGGTCTAAAATATGACTTGACTGCTTCCCTATTTGATTTTGTGTGCCACTGTAAATCTCCATCTTCTCTGAAAATGTGTGTTTTCCTTGTTTTTAAAAAAAGAAAATAAGAATTGCACATTGCATAGATGTTCTAAGCAATTCACTGAAATATGTGTATGACATAACAGCTGGAAAACAGAAGCTCAGAAAGTAACAGAAACATTAGCTGCAAGACATTTTCCTCCAAAGCATTAGTGAGGAATGCGACTCTTATCAGTCTTATGATCATTTAGAAGTCAAATGTCTAGGTTGTAATCTGCAAAATAGCCATGGCTAATGAAACTAGAGCAACTACTTTATATCAGAAACGATGGTGTGCAAATATATATACTTATGCCGACAAACTAAGCTATTGAGGATCAATACTAAAACAATGAAATTTGCGTTGTGAAGCCCTAAGATGAATGTTTTACTTGAACTACTATGATCTCACTGAATTGCTTAGTTTTACAGATGGACAAGCTAGGAGCAAGACACATTTGCGGGAGGAATGGTGAGGCTACTTGGTTAGTCAGTCTGTCCATTTGACAGTTTGGTCCAAAGCAAATTATGTCAACAGCTTTCCAGAGTGTCTTGAAATATGGCTCGAGCATTCATAGTCCTCTGAAGATGACCATTCCCACTGATATTTGTGTCTCCCTGACCTTTTACCTGGCGCCACTGTCAGGTCAAAAACTATTTTCTGGATTTCCATGATATTTAACGTAGATATTCGTTGTATCCATAGAATGAATCCTGGTATTATACTGAGACCCTGACCTATTTTCTTGCCACAACTGACCACCTCTGCTAGGGGCTGCCATTGCTCAGGACATAGTGTCCTTCGACAGGGGTGGTGTTTTGATGCCAGCGTCTCCTGTCCACATGTTAAAATTTTCATGAAGACACTGAACACCAAATTGCTCTTTGATGGTCTGGGCAACATCATTCATGGCAGTCTGCTTCTTGCTGCCATCAGAGAATGGGTGAATGGGGCAAGGCATATTGTAAAGGCCTTTGGATATAAGTGCTATATAAATGTAGCCATTTACCCCTTGAACACAATATCCAAATCTAAAAAGCAGTTTAAAAAAAAAAAAAAAAGGCCAAGATATCAACTTCAAACATAAGATATATCTCATAAATATAATAGATCCATTGCCATACAATTTGCATGGATCACTTGTTTGCTCCATCCAATACTTCTGTATGTGGGTTATAAGGTATATTGTGGCCTCTAGGGGCCACAGGCAAGGCTTTAGTACCCAAGACATAAAACATGCTTCACAGAAATATCATTAAACCTATGTATTTACAAAAATATGTAAGAAAGTGAAATGGCTAAATTAAAGTTACTAGGATATTTTTGTAAATTATGGGTGAAGTTTTGATAAACAGAATTATTCTGCCTTGAGTGTTTTGACCCGAGCAGGACCTTCATGGTCGTGGAAGCGTTTTCCTTCAATAAACTGCGCAGCTATGGGATGAATCGTGGATCTGAGTTAAATGAGGACATGAAATTAAATTACTCTATTTTGAAATGAGCTGCGCAGTGCTGAATAGATCATTAGTTTTTAGAAAAACACTGACTAAAATATGAAACCACAATACATGTACAGTCATTACTTCTTGGTTTTCAGAGGGGACACAAACACTGCTAATGATAATTGAAGTAAATGGAAGATTTTTTTCAGAATGTGTAATTGATTCATAACCCAGGGATTTTACACTATACCAGAGATCTGGAGTCTTTAACAGACTCCTGAGTAAAAAGAAATATGCTCAGTTCTGATATTCTTGTGTTTCCTTATAATCTGCATGGCCCAGTTCTTATGATATTCCTTGTGCTCTAGGACAGTCGAACCAAAATTGTGCAAAAGTATTAAATTTCTGCTACAACCAGGACTTAACCTGTGATGTAATATAATGTAAAGTTCTTACTGGCCCACGGAGAATGAATGTGGAAAGATGGCAAGTGTGACTCAAAAGCCCCAAGGGGAATACTCTAGGGATACGGGTACATTTTGTGCTGACAAAAATGCCATTAGAGTATGAAGCTCATTTGGGTAAAAAATTATAAACAGTCTGTTAATCAACAAAACCAGCCAAGCATTTGTCATCTGCTAGCAAACAGCACAACTGTCTCTAAAGGTTATGTCAATGAGGACTGCGCCTCCTTGACTGATGTCAAGCTCCTGTGTGCTGCTGCCTCTATAACAAGAGAAACAGCTGGCCTTGGTGTTAACCGTGTAATTCAAAAAGACTATGGAGGTTTTTTGGAGGTGAAGCACACAGAGTGTTTAAGTAAGGTGATAAAGTAAGTCTAACACCAAAAAGGAACAACTTGTGACTGATAATAATGGGGCGGTTTGTGTATTAAAAAAAAAAACAAAAAAAGTGCCTGAACTTGCACCTCTAATGAGAGGTGATGCACAGACACAAGTGCTGTGAACCACAATGATGCATAAAAATCTGCATTTCACACACTGAATGAAAACTGAGCTTAAAATATTACAACTATTCTCCATGCAGTATATAGAGATGACAGAATAGTCATTGAATGTGGCATCAGAGACTTAAAAGGCGTTCATTTTCAGATGAAGATTGGCCTGGTTTTGATAAAATGTTCTTTTACAAAAATGTCTGGCTCAGCATTGCAGTAGATTTGTGTCTTCAAACAGGCCCATGAGCAGGCAGCGCTTGTCAGATGTAGAAGACTAATGGTTTTTGGGTGGACTATTTATATAATGAAGCAATTCGAGGTCCCCTTGATTTTTTTGTGGTTAGCAGAGTGGTTTTAGAATTTGTTAGTGGATGTCATCTGTACTTTGAGGCTACATTATTCAACATTTTATATTAAAACATAGATTTTAGATGCTATTAAAATGTTTGACAGACTACTGTCATACAGTTCTTCTTTATGTTTGAAATTAACTAATTAATGAGGCAGATTTAGACTTATAGTTTCATTCAAAACTTATTTCAATTCAGCTGAAATCAATCCTCTGTCTTCATGACAGTGACACAAAAATAAGACAAATGTCAAGATTCGCAATTTAATATTCTTTTTAGGCGCAGGATAAAAAGACATGCATGCCAAAAATAAAGGGCTAAAATATCCTCGCTGCTGAAAAGTTCGTGTACAAGTATTTTTCACTTATCAGACTTAATATATGGACATATGGACATCCGATATAGATCAATGTGATTGGAGCATGTGCACAGTTTTACTTATAAATGATGATGAAAACATTTTTAGTGATCTACATTCTTCAGATCTTTGCTCCTCAAAAACAAGTCTTGTATGTAAATGGTAAGGTAGGAGATCTGTAATAGATGTATAAACCATTAGAACTTCCAGTGCAGGTCTATTATAAGAGTTATCTTTTCTTTTTTCTTTACACACAGGGAGCACAACATGACACATGTGATTTGAAGAAAACGTCAGTGGTCTGTTATTAATTTGATGATTCTGACAATCAAAACACTACACAGGCTAAGGTTAGACTAATGGCTCAATCAATACTCTGTGTCATTTTAATGATTGAAAGGATTTATATTATTTCTATCTAATATCTTACTTCTATGACTCAGCCATGAGATAAAGAAATAGAAATAAACTAGTAACCCCCATTTACATATTATGGTCTATAGCTGCTGTTTTGGTATGCTTTTGATTTGTGAAGAAAATGAGCCGATAAGGCAGGAGAGAACAGCCAACACCTTTGTTTTACTCTGCTTTGTTTATGAATAGAGAACAGAATAGTCCTGTGATGTTCACAATGTGCACATTAATATGAAACTGTTGCTAGTGCTTGTGCTATTAATAAGTATCTTTAAAGTAACTATTACACAGTACAGACTGAATGTGAATGCGTGGAGTTGTTACTGGAAAAGCATAATAATGAAATTTACTTGCAAAGTTGTGAGTCACAATTATCCAAGGTCACCTGGAGTTGAGAAAAATTTGTTAACTCCCACACCACAAATATGTCAGCGCTGCTTTGGCTGTACGATCTGGTTAGAAATGTCATTGAGATTAAAAAACAGTTTAAAAAATAAATAAATAAATAAAAAGTTATGCAATTTGACACGTTTAGTCTTACAGATATAAAACGTTTCATGGCCACTTGTCTAAGGAATTGTGGAATGAAAACTTTCTCTTTTCTTCTCACAAAAATTTCACTTTAGGGCTCGGATACTCTGAGCCTCAAATACGACAAAGGCTGACTGATCAAACGTTTTGTGTCACCTCACGTCACCTCACATCTTTGCACTTGAACACACCAAGAAGGCTTCAGCAGACTCGCAGTCAGCTGCAGTCTTCTTTCCAAGAAGATTAGGCCAAAGACATTTGGGGGGTATGATGGATAAACATTAAGAAAAGGTTAGGTCGATTCTAATTGTTATTCCTTTCACATGCCATACAAGAACTGAGGAGCAAGTTGGAGGACCAATGAGGATACATTAACAAAAAAGACAAAACAAACACAAAAACATGGAGATTTCTGCTACCACAAGAGGTAAGGGAAACTAGGTACAACTCTATGATCTACCCTACACATGCTCAAGGTCTATTACATACAAATCTTGAAGATTAATACTTAGATAGTACAAGTTTTAAAATGACGATGAGAGGATGGGATCAGTAATCAGGTACATTTTACAAGGAGGATGATCATGAACTACAACTAGTAGG